TATTGAATATACAAAATTGCTTATGAATATAAATAGATAGATAGGTAATACGCTTAATTTCGATCATTTAATTAGTCAAATATTTAATTAGATAACTGTATATTTATTAAAATCAAAGATATACTAATTCTGTTGTAAATTATACTTAATATATTATATATGATTCACCGTTGAAATAAATTAGTTATCATCCATTTTTTTTCGTCCGAATGAATTACTTGTTTTTATAAAAATAAGTGAACGCTGGTAATTATATTTCTTCCAAGTAGAATATTATCCAATAAGATTTGTCATTTTACAAAGAAATTTACTTTAAGTATAAAGAAAAACTGCATTAACATAGGTATACATAATACTTCTTAAATCATTTTCATTACCATTTATGCACTAAAAAAATAAAAAAGTAATCTAATATTAATCATATTAATCTTAAGACAAACTTTTCTTATGAACTGCAGTTATTATTGTAATAGGTACGGTGTCTTACAAAAATTATTTGTTCGGTATTTAATTGTTTCAGATTTCATTATTTTAATTATTATTATATTACAATTATATTATTTGGTAAATTTTTTTTATAGAAATTAAAACTGGTCACATTTTATGAATGTTAAAATTTTGAATGTGTACTTACTAATTAAATTTCCCAAATTTACATGTGCAATTTAAATAACGTTAGCTATAGGCTCGGACAATGTATATACAAATTCAACTTTAAGTTTATTTTTTTTTTATGATAAAAAATAAATATTGGTACATAATATGCATTTATGTTAACATAATTATATTATGTTTATAAATCTATTTACAGGGTATTATAATAGTAAGTATTATTTAGACAAAAATTGTGTTGTATATTAATATAATATTTTCAATAGTAGGTTTATACGGTTGTTTGCAATCTTGAATTATGTATTTAAGGTATTTAATGTTTTATAGATTGTAAATATAGGTAATATACATTGTAACAAATAGGTATGTAATTTGATTTAATCGTTTTACTTAAAGATTTTATCAATTTAACATTATTTAACGGTCAAAAATATTTTCATATATCTAACAGCATTACATAATAACATATTAAAGATACTTCATATTACAGTGGGATGAATTAAAAACGGGAAAGCACAATATAGGGAATGTTTTCCAATGACCATTGAAGTAAAATTATAATAATAATAAAAATCCATTTACCATGTCAACAATAATGGCAGCGTAGTTTTATAATCGTATGCTATGCTCGATTTATTTTCATAATAAATACTACGGATATATTTGATTTTGTTTACGGTGAACATTGCAGAATCATTATATGTCAATCTGTTCGATAATCCTCCTCTCATGTTAATCCGTAGTTTCATTTAATTCTACCTAAATATACACTTAATTTATTCTAGCCGGCCTCTAAAATATTAATCTAACTTTAATTTTTTAATTCAGAATATCTTATTTTTTTTTTATAATCTGTAGTTTGTGACGAGCGTAACTCCCATATTATATCTGTGTGATGTATGTACTGTGAACTTAACATTTTGAAACATAAAAGAAAATATTCAAAGGATAAATAAAGCCGTAGGTATTATAAATGTATATGGATAATACATTTATACGGCTATAGAACAAAATTTACTACAGTTACTTAAGTTTACTTGATTTAAAATAAAACTCAAGTAAAAATGGTTTACTCATTTAAATTTATATATTTGCTGCCTATATGATATTAGATAATTGAACAATTATTAAAACAGTAAGAAAATTACAGGTCACAATATTATTACAATAATCATGCCATTTGATAATTCAATATAGTGAAGGGAACCCTAGTTGAATTGCAAACGTTTGACATAAAAACAAATTGAATGATAAAAATAATGTTGTAGGTAACTTTTAAATTCCTTTTTTTGCACTATTTTTGTAAGATAGTTCATTAGACATATGAGTAAACGTTAAGTATAAACTATATATTGGATCTAATTTATTATTAAAAACTCTAATAGTAGTTATAATATGTAATTATTATGTAAATCAAAATTATGTAATAGTATAATGACTATACTGTAATTATTATATACCTATGTCCTTTATAAAAATTAAATCATCCGTATTGTGTGATAAGACATATATAAGTATAGGTACCCAGTATAATTAAGTTATACATTTTTAAAGGTAAATTATTGAATAACATTAAACACACACTTTAAAGTTGTCGCATATATTTTAAGTTATATTTATTATTACTTAAGCGTGGATGTATCTCCTTTAAATAATACATACCTAGAACAAATAACGATTAATAATTATTGCAATTATTTTGTACCATGTAAATTGAGGTAATCTTATACAATAATTATATAATATTTTTAATATCTGTAATTAAAACTCTATCCTACATTTAATTTTCAAAGAAATATTTTGATCAGGTCCAAGCAAAACTTGCAATTTGCCGCCATCATCCACGAAATGTCTTAAGAATCATTTTCACTGTCAAAAAGTGTCAAAATAAGTAAATAATGAAAAAACAGAAATAACAACGAGAGCATTTTCCTGGAAAGTATTTCCTCGGTGTTTGTATTATTAAACATAATAATAATTATTATTCTTATTGTTCGGAGAAAAATGTATTTTTGGACTGATTTATACAAAGTTCAAAGTTTATGTTGCAGAAAATTTCACAAGAGTAAATGTTTATTTCTGTTTATTATGTACAACAAAAAAATAAAATTAATTCTTTGTTTTGATCATTACATCGTGGTTCACTTGTATTGAAAAAGTCGTTCCACTCTACCACTCTTTTAAAATAGGCGATATATAATATTATATAACAAGGTCGACTAGATCGAGTGAAATGGCTTCTATGATGTGTATCGTACGTACGTGTACCTAATAGGTACATAATAGGTGTAAACTAAATGTATTTTAATTGGAGTCGGCTTTACCCATTGTTAAAAGTGCATATTATTTGTTATCTGTGTGTTATTTTGCATTGAAGAAGTTAATTAGACACAGATATCATATTCATATGTGTGCATATCTGATGTAAAAAACGGAATCAAAAAGTGTATCTACGCTTGCATTATTACCGCCAGCCGGTACATAAGCTGTTGACTTTACAAAAAAAATATCATCTTGTATAGTATACAGTGTATACGATTTAATATTATATTGTCACATGCTGAACTTATTATACAATACTAATATATATCTAATATAATTTGGCACAACATGGATGTTTTAGATGAATGTACATAACAATATATAATAGTAAATACTATCGTTGTAATGAGATTTATTTACAATTATTACTGTTTCCAACACTTCGTGAGTCATCTTACAAAAAATCCTGTTACCGATAAACGTGAAGGGCATTTATACTTAAACATGGCGGTAAGCTTGGATACATTTTTCGTGTTACCAAGAGTCTCTGTATCTGTAAGTCCTTAAAAGCCCAGTGTCCTGAGGGCACTAAAGCAAGTATAATCTTATGTTTAAATGGCTTTTTTTTATTATTTTGTTTATTTTGTAAAATAATATATAAAAACACTTCAAATATTATTATTGCTCATTATTATTTGATGGAATGGCATAAATATTTATAAAAATGATAAGTTTCTGTTTATATTTAATTTAATAGCAAGTAGATAAATTCCAGGTAAACGTGTATTTTACAAAGTACCTATACTATAGCCCAAAGGCAATACAAATCACTGTAACTAACTAAAAAAAATCAAAATAATTTCCAGAACTTTGTATATTAAATCTATAATGACCCAATTTATTATACGAGATTTACAATTACCAGAGGCGAGTTAAGGATTTAAGGGCCATTTTAGGAGCACATTTACACCAAAAGCCTTTATTCCTTATAAAAAATATATATAATTCGTGATTAAGTACTTATATTTGGTGATTACATAGGTAATTATTAAAATGTGTTAATATTTTATGTCGTATTAAAGTAATCACGTTTTTCACAAATGTGTGAAATTATGCAAAAATCTAATTTGTCTAGTTAAATTTGAATATATTGGTATAATGTTTTTATTTTTTTAAGTATAATTTAAGTAGGTACTAGGTATATTTACTACAAGTACCTAATAATAATATGCGTATAGGTACCTAATATTTTGTCTTTAATAATGCAATTTGGTTTATTTATTGTAATTGGCATATTCTTTCTTTTTAATATGAAACTGTCAATTAAAAATACCTAGGTAAAATAAATAAATTTAAGTAGCGTACTCCAGTGAGTGGTGACAATGTATGGGAATAATATGATTGAAATAATTGCATAATGATGGGAAAAAATATTATTTTATGATTTAAAAATGTCAGGTCAGTTTGCTCCGAGCATCGCAGTAATCGCTCATTCTGCGTTTCTATTAATCTTGCCTAGCCGTTTGGTCGAAAATGGAACGTATCATAATCTACTGCTATTATCATGCTGAATATTTGAGTAGTCCCTAACACGCGCATACGTATAATACCTATATATATATATATTGATATTATTGTGTAGGTATAGGCAGGTACATCGCGGTACCTCTCTCTCTACGATATTGTAGAGTCTACAAGGTCCAAAAATGTTGAGCGCTTTAGGTGAGCGCCAGTCGCGGCACCGCAGCGGTAGCGTTGTCTCTGTCGTGTGTCGTTCGTATTTCACCGATTGTCCGGAACGCGACGACACCATATATCATCATCATATATTATTATTATTATTATTGTTATTTTTTTCTGACAAAATAATGTTTATGCAAACATTTATAATCGCGTGAGGCCCACACATTCCTCGGTGTATTTGGTTCACGCACACACACAACGTGTGTTGGCATATTACTATACACGTATAGTAATAATAACGATAACAATAATCCAATAATGCGCCTAGACAGACACACGACGACCCGTCACGGTGGGGGATGGGGGGAAGAAGAGGGGTCGTCGTGTGTTTCGTTATTGCACTACACTGCGATACTGTGACAATACAGCAGTCGTGTATAATATTGTTATAATATTATTGTGACGAAATCGCGAGCTCGGGTTTAGCAGTCGACGAGGGTTTTCGCAGTGGCCACGCGGCGGTTATTGCGATTTTTACACACTCGCCGTCTCGCCAGCGATCGGTGGGTGCCACTCGTCGTCGTATATTAGTCCGCTGCTGTCCGTGAACGATATAATATCATATTTTACCTCTTCCGCGGGACTATAGAGTTCGACCACATACCCACACCCCTACGTCATCACTGCACATCTCCGGCAGGACAACCCCTTCAAACGACACACCCGTGTACCGCGCGACTTCCGATATTATCACACGAGTGCACAGTATTAAACACACCCGCCGCAGGGGCCCACGTTGGTCTACTTTATATTACACGCATCAGCGGTGAAAACTTATATTCACCGCCGCCGCCATATAACTGCAGTTACGTGCCTCACTGTCATACCTCGTGAATTCCGATCCGTGCTTCGAGTCGAATTTCAAACCTTTTCACCGGCATGACGTCGACGAGAACGCGCAACAACGACGCTTTTTAGTCGGTGACCACCTGCCCACATATTATACACCTACACCGCAGACATCGTGTTCATTTCGTGATATATATATATATGCCAGAGATCGCCAGGTAATAATAACACTGTCTTCGATGAAATAACTGAATGTATTCGTTTTAAATGTGTCAATCGTGTAATTGTAATTATATTGATATGCCGTCGTTAACGCGTAGGTATAAAACGATTTCAGTAAAAACTGAGCACATTTTCAAGCAGAATGAAAATATTTATGGGCGCCTATATTGGGTACCTATGCCAACTCCTGAACTCCTCATACAGAAAAAAACATACTGCTGTACTTTCACAAGTATAAATATTAAAAATGTACTAATGGTTATAGCTTATATACAGGTCATTCAAATTACTGAAACGTTTTTATAAACTAGAATGTAATGGGTGAAGCCCAATCGCGTGTGTTCTAAGTTGGGGTGAGTTGCTCGCAGTGAGTACCTATACTTAATAAAACATCGTCATGAAATATGATAATATCGGTATTTTTTTGAACAATTATTTTTGAAAGAAATGTTTTTAATTTAACTCATTAAACTAATGAATTAAAAACATTGATTTTAGTTTTTATAGGCTAATATGATATTATATTTGTATTGTATCCGTAGATATCATACATGCACCATTGGCCCTTGAATTACAATTGTATATTTGATACAATCGGTATTTGTTAATATCGGATTTCGGGTTTAGCTCACCTCCATTAATTCGCTAATCGCTTTATCATTACTTACCTAGGTTAGGAATCTATCCGTTATTGTAATTATTGAGTCTTATTGTACATAGGTTATGGTTTTATTCCATAGGTATAAAATATGATTTTTAATTATTTAGTTGTATAGCACAGAATTTGTTATTTGTAGTCCACGTATACTGGAAACAAAATATGCAAACTATTTATAGTTTGACTCGGTAAGGTTTCTTTATGGTTTAAAATATTGTCAAGTCCATATCTTATAATTTTCAATAATAATAATAAAAATTGTTATAATTTTAGCTCAAATAAAAATAATAAAAATTGGTATGCAGTATGTACAAGTACATCAAAGAGATATTTTTATCACTTCTGCCCCATTGTTTTAATTAATCAGTTAGATTGGATAAATCTTATTTCATCTTGCAATATACATAAAAATATAATAATAATAATAATGAAAAAATAATTTTTTTATAGCTCATATAATAAAACAAAGTACATTAATGTATTATTAACAGTAAAATATTATACCATAAGAAGTTGACAGATAATTAAAAAAATTCACAATGAGGAAATGATTTAATCGTAGCGGTACAATGAGTTGTGGTAAGATTTTTTCAGTCAAAAGTTTATTACTTTTACCCTATAAACTAAGAAATAATAACACAATTTATTGATGTTTGGTAATATTCAAATGTTAAAATATAGGTTAGAGGTAAAAGTACATTCTTATTTTGGTATGTAGACAGAATAAGTACGAATAAATCCAAGTGTGTACACAGTACCCAATTTCCACGAAATCAACAACAAACTTTTTTGAACTAATCCTTCGAAAAATCCTTATCCAAGAATAAATTTAAATAAGCTTATTTTTCATTATATATATTTTTTGAGAAAAACCAAACATCGAGATTCATAGTTTTCACAGACTTATGATTTGTTTGACGTATTTTTTTGTCTATAAGACATTTTAATAACATCACTATTAGATATTATATTACTGACTTATTTAAATTATACTATATTTATCATTCAGTGATATTGATATAATATACGTTAGTAAATCATTTAATATAGAGGTATATATTATGTCTAATATTATTATACTTATGATTATTTACCATGTGCTGTTTTTTAAAAATAATTTTACATCGTTTGTATTGTGGTTTGTGACTATATAAGTCACATAATTTGTGTTTTAACATAATTCTCTTAATATAATAGTTTGAGATTGTGTAATTAATTTTTTTTTATATTAACAGTAGGTGCTTAAGTAGAAAAATGTATAACTTTAAAAATTAAATCTCATCGTAACTGTACTTTTTTATGATCAAATTAAGTGGGTATCTACTCATACTATGTGATATGAACCACTAGAACCAACCAGTTGTACTCAATTCAAGTTTGTCATAATTTTAAATTTATGGAGTTCATACAACAAAGAAGCAGTTTTAATTAAATAAAAGATAGAATTTGTTATCAAAGTAAAATTACTTACTTTTGATTTAAATATCAGACATACTATGCTCATAATGAATATGGACGACTATATGAGTAGGTAACTAATGTTAACAAAATGTATTAATTTTGAAATAACTAGATCATTTAGTTAAATCTCATTTATAATCATAGCAAATAGTTAAAAACTTCGCTAGAATGGAACGAAAAAATAAAAAATCTTTGAAATTTAATACATTGGAAATTTAAAACAAGTTTCTTCATAAGTTGTTCTTACGAAATTAAAAATTATAAAAGTTAGTTCAACATCCCGTAGATTAGTGTATTACTAGGTAATATAATAATAAATTACTAAATGTTATATGTCACCTCTCAGAATCGTTTTATGTCTACAATGATGTATCATTGAATTAAAATTGCAGAATACATCTATTACTGTGACTAATCCAATGATGGAGTACACTCGAAACATACTATATAGGTACAGCAGAGCGGCTTGTCTGGTTTTTTGATTTTGCCGTTATCTGGAGTGTGAAAATTCGTAATTGAGCTTATCTTACAAAATGCTATTCTTAAAATGTATAAATAAAATAATATTTAATGGTACATTTGAAAAATAATACTATAAATTAAAAATGAGGTATCCGTAGTTTTTTGTGAAATCAATAAAATGACTGTATATTTTTCATGGTATGCATATCCTACACAATGCTGTTAATGTATTCGAACTTGATATCATGTGCCTAATTGATATAGTTCTGTGTTCAAATATAAATGAATAAATGAATAATTTACTATTTTAAAAACGTTTAAATTCAAAACACTGTTGTTTAATTTTACAACATATTAATAATTTAAAGTACTTAGGTAGATAATAATAATAATTAGAGTTTCCCAAAGTAATCAATAATTATTACCTATCTAATTATGTATAAGGATGTTTTCAATCACAATTAAATTTTTAAATAAAGATTATTGGTGTAAATATGAATGGATTAATGGCAATATCAAATGACAAATAGTACTAATAATTGAATCATTTTTTGGTTCGTGTAGATACTCAACAATTTTAGTATAAATAAATATTAACCGGTTCCATTATTGAGCTTTATAGAGCTGGAGTAGAAGTTTTGATCTTAATTTACTAATTTACTAAGCCCTAGCAGTTGAAATTGGGCTTTGAAGAAATGGCATACCCCGGATTGTCAATATGATTCATTCTGATGGACATCACGATTCACGATTATCACAATCCTATCACAGGTGGAATAGCTGATTTGTCTGTTGAAATAAATTTATTTTGCCTCTGCTGTTAGATACTTGTTTTAGTTAGATTTTTAGGTATGTAGTATATTGGAAACTGAACTGCATATTTAGTTTAACTTATACACAAATAAGGATTTAGTAAACGAATGCAATTAACCAATTAAACTTCAAATATATATTTACAACTTAACCATTTTAATGGTTATATATCGTAATACTTTAGTTGTATGGTTGAGTGAACTTATTTTAACACCCGTTTTAGTCAGAACTTCGATGCTTCCGTGTCATTTATGTTCGATTTTAAGATAATTATCCACCCTAGGTCGGGTAATATAAAACACTTGAGAACGGTAACCTTTATGGCTTCATCGAGTGCGTAATAAATCAAGAATAAAACAAATTGATCCATTTATAAGTTAGAAATATTCTATGACCCGAAACAATAATACAAAAGACAATCGTTGTTAGTGATAATAAATATTTTTCTAACTCAGGAGTTCACTCACATGGGTGTCCGTAAACACTTAATATACAAGATGGGGGGGGGGGGGGTGGGGG